TTAAGCTAATTCAAATGAAATTAAAAGTAAAATAAGTTTCAGTCGAGTGGATGTGATGACGGCGGCGGCGGATGATATCGCGCGACACAAATAATCGATGATGAAATTCGTTGCCAACGCTTTTAAAAGTCGATTTTTATCGATTTTATCGATTCGTTGTTGCAGCCCTAGTTCTTAAGTTATTTTAGTGAAAGGATTTTTATCACAAACGTAATTAATGTGACAAATAAGTAAAAGCTGCATTAACAATATATAAGTAAAAGGAGTTTTACGAGGCCCCCAGGAACTTGGGACCCTAGGCAAGTTTTGCCTAATGGTAAATCCCCCGTAACTTCCAGCAGTGACATGTTAAACTGAGAAATCCAACTATTTATCACCTATGAATGAACTGAACCTGATTCTAGGTTTTTTTCCTTAAACCTGCAGCTTATTGTGGTCATGTGTGTCGCTTCCCCTTGAGGTCCAGTCTGCATTCACCCCACCGATGGGATACGAGGAACATGGAAGGTTGTTATTGGGAGCCAGGAAGGCAACGTTTGCTGCAGTTCTCCAGCAGAAAGCTCTAATTCACCTCCAGCTCCACTTGTTTACAGTTTTAGCTGATTCTCTAAAGAACGCAGCGCTGTGCTGCAGTAACAGCGGGGAAGGAAATGGATCTTCATCGCAAACTTTCAGTAATAAATAAAGAAGGTAATCGATATAATAAATGCTTCAATTACACTATAGATTTATCTTAAATAGACTGTTAACCATGACAATAATTAAATCAAAACCACATTTTTTTTTCCTGAGTGAATGAGTTGACATTAAGAGTTTTTCATGTCTTTCAGAGGGAGATCCTGCAGCTGGAAATGTACAGTAACGCGAGCGAACCGCCATCCTGGGTCCGATGAGCTTGGACTAAAATAAAGACTAAAATGTTCTGACTTATAGTCGACTAAAACTAGTCTAAATAAAAAGATGATGTCGACTAAATGTGATAAAAACTAACAAGCGATGCTGAAACTGGACTAAAACTAAAACTGAATTTGAAAATGGCTGCTAAAATTAACACTACTGAGAACTTACAGTTATTTGTTTCTGCTCAACGTCGGCACCGCCGGCAACACTAAAGCCCAGTCCTGCACCTTCTTCCTTATTCAGGACAACGAGCACAGCGTGGTTGTTGTTGACGACCTGAAAATTTAACATCAAGAATCAATTAGGAAAAAAATTGAGAAAAGCTTAAATATGATTGAGTCAATATGAGGAGCATACATCAGTTGAAACAGTTTGACTTATTTTGATCGTTTTCAATTGTTTATCTTGAATTAAACTCACTGGCCACTTCATTAAGGACATCCGGTTAAAACCAGACTGGATCAAAGTGTCAGATTCATTCTAGCGCCACCTATTTGGTGAACAGCAGCAATGCAAGTACAGAAAGGGGAATAGAAAAACAAGCAGTCTGAGATGTTTACAGCTTTGTGTTTACACTCTGGTCATAATGGGTTACACACGGTTGGCTGTATCGGTACCAATGGGCTCATAGTGGGCCCCCTGACGTGGTCGTCTGCTGCTGCAGTCTATTAGTCTGATATGTTATTGATTCGTCACACACCAGTGTTTACTTATCCAAAAATCAAACACCCATAGCAGCTTCAGCGTAGCTTGGATTATCTTTCTTCTCTGTTCTGTTCTCATTTTGAAACTCGCCAATACGTAAATGTACTAAGAAGCTGCCAGCTGATTGGCCGGTTGCTGAGACATCTTGACCTTCCAAATGGAGATCTACAAAGCTTACAGGTCTGGCAAAGGGAAGGAAGAATTTCCAGCAAAAAAAATTTTGGTTCATTTCATATGTTTTACTGTTGAGTAAAGTTAGCTAACAAGAAGCTAATACAACCACCTGGTATCTAGTCTAATGCTATATTGTTTTGAGCATTTGATATATTCTGCTCTTGGAGGGGTAAGGGATCAGAATGCTGGTGAGGATTCTCAGTCATCCAGGTCAGAGTCATTCCAAAAAAGTTAAAAAATAATCCACTGGACTTTGTTTCCAAGTTAGAAGATGTTTCGATTCCCATCCAGGAAGCTTTTTCATATTAAAAATGTCAGAAATAGTATATTACAGCCTAAAGAAACCAAACGACCCCCATTCCAAAATGGACCCGTTCGTCTGGTTCAGTTTTCTAAGCCAAAACAAGGCTTTGATTTCGGTCCACTCTATAAAGCCTCAAACTCAACGCTATTTCTGACATTTTGAATTGAAAAAGCTTCCTGGGTGGGAAGCGAAACATCTTCAAACTTGGGAAAAAAAGTCCTGAGGATTGTTTTTAACTTTTCTGGAAGGGGTCAGACTCCATTTTTGTTCTGGGCCTCTCTGGGTCCCATCTTGAGGAATACATATGGGAGAATTATCCTGCCATAATGCAAGAGCACATCATTTCAATTTG